CAGAGTCATGTGCAGAGGAAGGGAGACATACAAGTCCTGGATATGGGATCGGTTCCACACGAGGTACAACACTAGCCGGTCACTACGGCACGTCCACTCATTGCAACATCCGAGTTCAGAAAAGCTCCAGAGGATCACGTGAATCTGGACTGGACAAGAAAGCTGTCAGTCTCTGATCTGATACTAACACACACATACACACCTTTCAAAACCTTTTCCTTGAGAATTTTCGTACATTAGTACTGGAATAAACTGAAAGAATATCACAACTGAATGGTCTGGTGAACTGGAACAGAAAGGTCAAGACATAAAGATCATGATTGTATTCATGATAATGTTTTTTTAAAGGAAATCACAGAATTTACTGCAAACTTATTTTTTTCAGGTATATTTATTTTGCTGTTATTTTTGTTGTTTAATTTTACATTAGATGAAGAGGAAAAAATGATTTCACTCTGTTTGGGATTGTCATGTTTTTTGACATGAGTCAGTAATTGTCATATGCACAGTTTAAAAACTAATTATTTCTTTGCTGTCCACTGTGAATGTTGTATAAAGTATCCATACAGAGAAAATAATTCTACAATAGGTATCTACAACAACAATACACAAAGTAAAAAATATGAATAAAAAAAGAAAGAATCAGTTTTCTAAATACTGTTTGTTTAAGCTGTTTTCATTATTCAAATCCAATACATTTTAAATTCTTCCCGATTTCAGATCTTATCTTCTCTGTTGTATCCTCCCTTACATAATGGAAAAAGGGCAAATCGCATCAATATGTGAATGTAAGAAAAAATGCATTTGTTTGTTCTCTATTTATGTTCGAATTTGTTTTTCACTCTACAACATTTACAGTAGCTGGCAGATGCCCTTCAAAAGTTGGTTTTGCAACGCCCCCTAAGAAGAGAAATGAAAAAAATAATGAATTTGCCAGAAAAAGTGGATAGGAAATTAACGAATAATAACATATCTATCTGTGGTGGCCAGCGTCCATCTTTTATGCTGTAAATTTCTGGGGAGAAACAGCAAGAAGAGAGACGACGGTCGAACTGACAGGAGAGCGGCTCAGTGTGGCACAGAGCGAGACGCCCCACACCCTCTGCACACACCTTCACCAGGCAGAGATTGTGTTCAGTGGCAGACTGCTGTCCAGTCCAGCTCCCCAACAGACACAAAAACTGATCCCCATCAAGTACTGTACACAGCTCTAGTAAGGCAGGAGGACAATAGATAATAACAATGGACAAATTTCTACTTCATTTTGCACTGTTTTACTTCCATTTTGCACTCCACTCTCCATCTATACTTATCTAATATAAATAAGAGTTTGATTTAAATAAGACCTTTCTGTGGAAATAATTAAAATAGTGCAACTATATAATATAATTATATATAGTATATATATAAAGAAAATGCTGAAACTTAATAACACTGACTAAAATATAATAAATTAGGATGTTGCAACGAAGGGAAGGCGGGATAGATGAGATTTGGGAAAAAAAGTGGGTTATTATTATTTATGGCAATTTTTATAAACCAGTAAATTGTAATTGATGAAAACTTAGATAATATGCAGACTAATTTATAATGATTTAGTTCTACTTCGTTTAGAATGCTTGATCTGATTGGCTGGAGGAGGGCTGACGAGCACTACCGTCATCAAATAGTAGATCAATACGCCGCTTGATTTTTTTCTATCACATAAAATTTCAAACCATGAGGTCATTGTAACAATACAGCTTGTTTAAAACCAGTTTGTAAAATGTGTCGGAGATCTATCGAGGGTCAGTCGACACATAGTTTCACAAGCGAGACCACATGAAACTAACTAACGTTATTAAACTAACGTTAGTGATGCGCCTTGTGTGGTTGCTAAGAATACGAATGAAGCTGAGCTCACGTTATTTCAGCTACATCTAAAGAGATGAACTCAAGAGTATACATTTATAAGCTGGCAATAAGAATAAAAAACAGCAGAATTATAAAGATAATTGAATGTTTATTATTTTTGGCAATAAGAAGTAGAATAACGGGATAATCACCGAGGCCGGGCAATAAACAGTTTGACATCTATACTAACTATACATATATACTTTCTTTTCTATTTTTAACTGTATTTCTTACTTATCTTACTACTTTATTACGTCGCCTAAATATTTTGCGTTTTTTTTGAGCACTTTTTTCTTTTTTGTTTACACGGGTATCCATGCGACGAAGTCCATTGTTTAACCGCGACCAGCTTGATCGCCCTGAGACACCCGAGCATCCTGACCGAAGAGAGCCTCCATACCGGAGGATGCTGAGGGGAGACGGAGAGGCTGCAACGGGGCTTAACGTAGGATGAGAAGAAGGGTTCACTCTTCATCCCTGCAGTCAGCACTGGAAACAAACGTGGCAAGAAGAAAGGAGGGGACTGCCGACGCAAACATCCAGTTATCTTGCCATCACTGTCTATATTCCTCACCAGAGCTTCATCATCCTTCATCATCATCATCAATCATTATCACAGGGGCCTTCACCAGTTTCTCTCTTCGTCCACACTCCCAGACCTGCCCCATCCAGTTTGATAAGTTTTGATAAGACCTTGGACCCTCAATAAGATAGAATATTCTTTAATGTCCCACAATATAAAACGATGATTTCACCTCGTACAGAATGTAAGAACACAATCAAACCTGGAAAAAATAAACCCCAGTCTTTCCAACATTCTCCAACATGTGGACAATATAAAGGATTCAGTTATTATATATTCATACGAGTTAGCGGAGGGCTGAACCGGAAGCTAGGAATGGAGGACGTCTCTAGTGTGCTTCCTCTATAGGCCACACAACGTGGAAACATATGCAGAAGATTCAGGTAATTTTATGTCTGGAAATCAAATTCTTTTTGGCTTCATGCACCACTGAGCAGCTTCCACAGGAATGAACGGAGCGCGTCTCCAACGCTGTATCCACTTACCGCCTAATAAATAAAAGCTTTATACCAGAATGCATTTCATTTCTGTCTGCTTACAGGCTGGAAATGACGCATCCTGTGGACATATACTGTGATACTGAGGACATTTGTAGTACTTGATGGCCACAAACAGATATAATAGATAATTAATAATATATATTAATATTTCTTACTACTCTGTCTCTGCCTGTGGATCTTAGCTAATCGGTTCTTACTGAAAACGTAAAAAGTTTCAGGCTAAGTCACTTCCTATAACAGCCTATAACTGTTACTCATACAGAAGGAACTAGTGTTTTTGTTGGGGACCATTTTCAGTGGCGGATTAATACACATCTGGTGTCTTAATATTTATAGAAACAGGATGGTGTGTGTGGGACTCAAAATAAAATACAGTGCAATATCACCAGTCTTATCATTAAACATCTTCTAAGTTATATATGCAGGAGTTTTACCTTTAAAAGGTCCTCTGAGACTTTGTGATTCAGATCTGTGCACATAAATATGACTCTTGTTCTCACAGTTAACCACGTATGAGTCCGCATATGATCCAGCATCAGGCAGAATACGCTGAGCAGTGTAAACGGCTGTGACAGAAACACAGTTAGGAAGCTAAACCAGGGGAGCTAACAGCTGTTCACAGTTCAGTTTTGTTCATTTCAACCAAAAAAAGGAGAGGAGGAGTGATTAGGTGCATTACAGGATGACAGTATGTACATAATCATATCTGAGCTGGTGGCTAAAAGTAAAAACATTTTTTAAAACAAACAAAATACAAAAGTATTATCCTTCACAGTACTCGTACACACCAGGATCGCAAAGATGAAATCATGTAGATTTAAAATCCTCTGTGATCAAAGTGCTTCTTCTTCCTATAAACTATAAACACATCAGTGCACAGAAGTTCTGCAGTAGTTTAACCTTTGTGGATCGCTCACAGTCTCTGTTTAAGCTCAAACTCCCGACGAATCGACATGCATACAAAACCTGATTAAAAAATGTACAGTTCATTACTTTCATAAAAAATGGCAAAAAGTGTATATTTATTATCGTTAATATTCTCTATAAATATCATCCATCTGATGCCTCGCACACATTTACAGCTTCTTCCCTTGAACGCCTCCTCTGCTAAAAAAAACACCCCGCGGTGGTTTAAACGCCTTTTTCAACATTAAATAAAATGATTTCTTGACCCCTGAAATTATGGGATGCAACATTTTTGTGTGTGAGGCGTCGTCACGTCATAAATCATCCAGCAGCTACTAACGGCTCATTTATATCTTGCATATTTCTACACAGGTTTCACCTTCAATCAAAAGTATATGGATTAAATAGAAATTATATTTATATACGTCTATATACTGTATTACATTTATCTACACACGTTGTTTTTTTGTGTTGGAAAATATAATAATGTTTGTTTATCTGACAAATAAGACGACTGGGGCGGAGCTCAATCTGTCGTTTGATTGGCTGTTTGTTCGGGACTCTTTCTTTTTCGACTTGTTTTCAGTGAGATTCGCTTTATCGTTACGTAGCATCAAAATAATCCCTGCTTTTATAAAAAAATATGTTAAGATTATAATTCTCATATGTTTTGGTGCTCTGTTGCTTTGTTAAAGTGCTGCTTTAGAGAACAGGGTATAATTGTTATTTAAAAATCTGAATGATAATGTTCAATTATCAGTGAAATTAAAATCAATAACTAACATGAGATACGATACATATCTGTGCAATTTCAGTACGAGTGCGACTGCATTTAGAAATATGTGTTTGTGGACATTATTATGATAGATTTAGTGAAAAAGCTGATTAAATAGTATTTTTTAGTTCAGGATGCAGTGACATGAGAAACATTTGGTTAAAAGATGTTGAAAGCTGACTGTACTGAGAGAGCCGATCGATTCAACCTTCATCTTCAATGATTAGTTTGGTTACTGAACCGGGACAACTGGGGGGAGTCTGACAGTTTCTCATCGGTTTTAGGCTCTTGCTCTCACTTCACTTCTTTTCTGAAAAGAGTTCATATTCTGTTCATCATCATCAGCCGGCGTCTCACTCCTCACTGATGCCGTGCTCCCAGGCCACTTTCGCCTGCTCATCCTTGGTTGCTGCGATTATGGGCTGGGAGATCTTGCGTGGCATGGGCCGGGGGGCGGGAGGAGGTGGTGCAGACTGGGTGTTCAGGGCGTCTTCTTCAGGGATACACCCCTCTCTGAGGTAGGGTTTGGGGGGCAGGGCTGGAGGAGGCTCGTGGAGTTGGTAAAGAGGTGGGTGGTGGGGGAGGTAGTGTGGGTGGAAGTGGTGGTAGTAGTGGTGGTGTTGGGGGTGCGGCAGCCCATCCTGCTGCTGTGGAGCTCCAGTGGAGGCCGAACCCGGAGCCTGGGGCTGGATTTGGCCTCCTGCCTGGGCCGGGGTGACGCCTCCTGGGGCGGAGTGGCTGCGGCTGGGTGGGGGTTTCACTCCGTCGAGGACGTCGGGCTCGGAGACGCTGTACCTGACGGGTTGATAAAGTGAGTCCAGGTCTTCTTGGTCGGTGGTCCAGACCTGACTGCTGGGGACGGACTCCAGGGTGTCTGTGCGACTGGCCGGGGGGTCTGAGGAGGAGGCGGGGCCGCCGAAGTTGCTCTCACTGAGGGAGGAGACTCCAGAGCTGGCACTGCCTGATAATGTGGAGTTACTGCCATCCAGGATGGACTGTGGACTGGTGGGCGAGGCAGGTATAGGGTGCAGGGGAGACTGGAGAGAGAGAGAGAGAAAGGGGGGGCAGATACAGAGTTAGAACAGACAGCTGGTATGTTACAGCTGTTTATGTTTGCTGTCATGAAGGATTAGAAAGAAAAACTAAAACTTAAAGCAGTTACATTTACCTAAAGGCAGAATAAACAGGATTTGTTGGTTGCGGTTTGTAAACACAGTATTTTCCCTGGTCTTAATGGCACAAGAAGTGCATGCCCCCTGACTCTTCTCAGGAACTGGCAGAGTTGGCTTTATTTTTTGAGGAGGCCTCGCTCATTCAACACCTGTATATATGTCTATAAATGTTTTCTGAAAACATTTAAGGTGAGAAAGAAGCCATACAGTTGCTGAGTCTGTCTTAATTTTAGCAGTCAAGCAGTCAAGGGAAAATAATTGTTCACTTTACATTGTTCTTTAGGAAAATCCTACTTATTCTGCCTTTAACTGATGAAAACAATACTGAAATACGGCATAAAATATGGCAACTATTAAAATGAATGATACTAATAAGCCAATTTATTTGCTTGCTCCATCCAACATTTTATTTAAAATGTTGATTTGGACTTTACCAGCTCGTGGTGGAAACCATGAAGAATTATAAATGATCACTCAAGAGCAGTCTGTCTCTGCAAGCTCTGAAATCTGTAATGAGCTAAAAAAAACTAAAACATAACCTACAAGAAATAAAATATATTTTTAGCACAGGATCAACTAAGTCAATTATTTAGGAATCAGATTGTCTACAGGGAGATTAGAAAAGTCCATGAGCAGTGAAAACTCAACAAAACTGAGAAGGGACAGAAAACAGGACAACATACAGAAAAGGAAAAGAAGGTTACTTCCATGGAAAGCAGAAGCGGGAAAGCAGACGGACACTGGGAGATTTCCTTTAGTGGAACTTCCTGTACAGTGCCTGAACTCTCACAGCTAATTTAGAGCTCAGTGTAGACCCTGTGCTCAGTAACAGAACATTAAAAATAAACCAGAACAGATGAATTTCTGGATGTCTGCTTGTGTCCTCCAGTTGTAAATGAACCGCTGCATCACACTCATTCAGAATTCTCATCCTGAAAGTTGTAGTTTGTGATATCAAATGAAAAAGACCCTTTCTTGCACAGGTTTCATTGAAGTCATCATGCTAAAGTGGTGCAGAGGCTAAAACAAACTCTCCTAACAACAGTGCCTCTCTTGGGGAGTGTGACAGAAAGTGTCATCCAGTCCAACAGCAGGAGTGAGGAGGAGGAGGAGGAGGAAGAGGAGGAGGGTACCTTTCTTAAGGAGCGCGCAGGGAGAGCTGGAGGGAGGTCGCTGACCTGGTGGTGGAAAGCATCAAAGTGCATCGACAGGTGTTGCCCTACAGGGGGAGACACAGCAGGACTGACTGAGAGAGATGCACACACACACCTCAGACCAGAGAAGAAGTGGAGGATGGGGAGGAGAAAGGGGGTGAGGAGGGGGAG